CACACACACACACCTGCTTGGATACTAAAGCACGCCCACGCCAAGTATCTACCGTGAGAACTGATGAATCCAGTCTATCCCATCTGGACAAATACCACCTGTTTTATCAAAGATTATTTGAAAATTCCATCTTGCCAACCAGTGCTGAAAGGTCATTCCTTGTTCTCTGCCAAGAAATCAAAATAATTCTTCCTTTATCTCTAGATAATGGGCAATATGGCCGGTGAATATTTGCGTAATTGCTTGCTCAGTAGCGTATTGTCTGGCCTAGGTACCTACGTCATATAATGGAATGTAGTACTAGTGGCCATCCCTATGTAGCATGTTTGGAATGTAGCAATTATATAGCATGCAATAAACATCGAGCTTCTTCCATAATTGTGCGCCTGCGAGAATGACATTTCCCTATCTTCTGCAATAATTTTCATTGGAAATATTCATAAGCATAATTCATTCTTCAATCTGTAATTATTACAATATTAAATTGCAGTCTAGAGACGATGAAGTAACGTTATCTGATGCAATCAGGCGTTGTTTTCACTCTTTGTCATAATCAAATGTAATTTTACTCTTGTAACACTATGATTATTTTCATATTCGCTGTGCCACCATCTGCTTGCATATCATATGGGCATATTCTTACATAAAGGGTGCTTGTTATGTAATCTACTTGTATTAACTCCATATCATCTTACTCAAGCATTTAAGTAAGATGTGTACGAAAACAAGCTCTTAGATTGTCGTCAAGAAAGTATAGAATTGCTTCTATTTCATCATTAAAGTGATTTTTACAATAACTTAGTAGCATGCCAGTACATGTCCAGACATAAAAAAAACAGGCAGTAGACATTAGAAGGAAGCATAAAATATACGCACACAGTGAACGCGAATTGAAAATCCTCCCATATATTTTCTACGTCTATTCTGTCTAGACTGAATGGCAAGGCCGTGAAGTCAGATGTAGAGATTTCTCTCACACAAGCAGTCATTGCGATTGCACAGTTGAGACTAAAGGTTTAACCTAGATTTGTCGGGCCAAATTTTCCTGTGCCACTCTAATCATGTGATTATAGTACCGTACAATCTGGCTGAGTGTCTCTGGAGTGGAAAATTGCAACGCTGATGATCATGATTGCCGTCCCGTATCTAGGTGTGTACTTGATGAATACAGTACGTTTGCGCCGTCGACGCGTTGTCTGCTTCGGCCTTTTATTACGCCAAAAAAGGAGTGCGAATGTCAGTGCTCTTTGGAGTAGCACTTTGTTGAAAATGAGGGAGCCGGAGAGTACTACAAAGTCTCTGAGAACGTCAGACGGCGGGCTGGCGTCATTCTGTTGAATGTCGATTCTTCACTGGCCCTCCTAACGCACTTGTGATTTGCAAAGAGCCCGTTTCAAAACTCCGGTCACGTCGACTGTAGGCAAGTTAGCAGAATAGAATTATTCACAGACACGAAGCAAGAATATGAAATAAATAACTTTTATTTTAGGCGCAGTTCTGCCGTATATTCTTCTCCAAACGTATAATTAAATCACAGGAAATCGGTATTTTGGGGCACAATATCAATTTGCGAAAGTTGGATTGCTCAAAGGATGGACTCAAAGCTAGAGGCGTATACCCGTATCAGGTCCTGATGATGATATGTAAGCATCACAGTTGAGAATTAATAATCTGTACAGGGACATCATATTCCGACAAGTTGAGCGCTGGCGGACATAAAATGGCAAGAAAACCTCACGCTGGCGGTCTCTTTTGAGCATAATCGTAATTCTGCGTGCGGCATCTGTGGTAATAAACGTCATGTAAAGGGAATTACTAGTGATGGCTACCTCAACGGTTATTCCCTCTATCCTAAAGGTGAATCCTACGTTTTATGCATGGGAGTGTAGCTCTACTGTACGATGTACCTTCTACAATTGCCGTGCAATGTACGTATAACGTCCAAATGCACGTATAACGTCCAAATGAATAAGACCGAAAATCACACAAACACGTCCTTTTGCGCTTGTGCCTTGACTATTGCTTGCTTAACCATTGTAAAACTTGCATCTACGAATTGTCACAGATACTTTTTGGCATAGTTCGCTATTATTTGAAGTCAATTTTTGGTCAAACCAGTTGGTGTCATTTTCCCAGAGGCTCCGTCGGTTCTTCTGTCAGGGTTTGCATATTATTGGCGTCCTTTGCGTCCTTATTTAGTTTGGACTGGTCCAGTTTTTGGAGGTCTATGTTGTACCTGCCCTTGGACAGTTCGTTCTTGATGTAGTCGATCCTCCGCGCCACCTCGTAACAGTCTAGCCGCGCACCATCATCATCATCATCATCGTCAACGTCGTCCTTAGTGCCCACCGTGTTTTTTATTCCTGAGAAAAAAAGAGAAAGAAAACAAGAAAGGTAACATTTGCAAAGCAAATGCATAATGTTTACCTTCGCATATGGTCTGCTCTGTTAATTCGTACTCAAATACATTCATATATATAGTCAGACAGGAGTATAAATCCCTCCTACTATGAAATTGCAACATTATGTAACCCAACACCAGTTACCATGGTGAGAGACGTCAACAAATCAGGTCATTGGCCAGGTCAGTGTTTGGAAGGGAAGAAGAAGAGGAAATGTAGCAAAAACAATATGTCACTCTGGTAAATATAGCTTGTAATATTATGTCATATTAGTCATACGACAGGTTTACGAATGTCGCAGCAGTTTTATGTCGTTCTTAGGTCGTGCAATTTCAGATGTCTTCTGATATGGAATAAAGTCGACGGCAGAAATTCTTGCCGCCGACAGTCGGTCGGTTCTACCGTAACAAGCTGAAAATCCCGGGACCAAAAAATGACGACGTTTTCACTTTACTTACTAATAGAAAAGCTAGCTAGTGACGTGCGTCAGTGATATCCCAGGATAATGTACGTTCCCAAAAGCAAATACATGTACTCCGAGAGAAGTCAAAGATCAGGATTTGGTGGTATTAGATATTTTCAGCATTGTTAGATGGGATCATATCGTGACAGCGTTTGACGCTAACCCAAGGCGAAGAGACTTAGCGGAGGAATTGCACAGTTGACGTAAGTGGTGAAATACAAGGACTGGTAAAATCATATGTACGTCATTGGTGCGACAAGGGCATACGTGAAAGTCAGACAGAAAGATCCACGCACGCGATGGAAGCTTACGTACACCTGACCTTAAAATCGTGATTTGCTTACTAAGCCTAGGCCACACCAATCTAATTTGTTGGTTCTCGGATTTTTTCAGAAAAAAAATATGAAGCGAAAAGACTGAAAAAATAGGAAATAAAAACAGACATCCTATTATAGCCACAAATGCTACGATAGGCGCCATGAAGTCAACACAAAAGGCTGGGTCAATATCTAAATAAAACAATGAATTTTGAACTTTTACTCAAACTACTGCATTGATGGATGGAAAAACTGTAACAACTAGGAAGAAAAGGACTTTCCTTAACTGTTGGGGGTAAAATATGAGCATCTTTTAGTTGATTCAGAACCAGAATTTTCTTAGGCCTAGAAGCTAGCTGACAAGCCATGGCTCTACAACTGTGCGGGCGTGCAGGCATTTACGTCACTTGTTGAGAGTTGGGAGGAGAAGAATATCCTGCACATCGTTTAAAAAGTCACCGAACGCTATGTAAATATATGTGGGGTTTCGAAATGACGTAGCTCTAAGCTCCAGATAGGCTCGTGATGTATAATACCATTGTTAAATGCCAGTCTATGTTATCTTTAGACAACCTTGTGTCGTCACGAAAAGACGGACTTGCGTCAAGCTTATGCAAAAATCTAACGTTGCTTCCAGTTTCAGAAATATCAGAGAAGATATGACGCCATTGGCAATGGTGCCATCTGGAATTAGCAGACGAGTTATATCTTTTTATCTGTATGGTTATTTGATTTGCTGTTGCCATGACTACATATGTAAGGTAACGTATTTTCCCCTGTAGCTACACAACCGTGACGTAGGAAATCGTGTACATTGTCTCGTGGCGACTTATCCTGTATTTACCTCCATGAAGGATGGAGGTATTGTTTTTGACATACCTCACTCTCCGAGTCTCTCTCTTTCTCTCTCTCTCATTCTCTCTCTCTGTGTACATGCGTGTGCATGTGTGTGCGTGTGTGCGTGTGCGTTTGTGTGCGTGTGTGTGTGTGTGTGTGCGTGCGTGTGTGTGTGTGTGTGTGTGTTTGTGTGTGTGCGTGTGTGTGTGTATGTGTGTGTGTGTTTGCATGTGTGTGTGCGTGCGTGCGTGTGTGTGTTTACGGTTTGTGTGTGTGTTTCCACGTGGCCCTTTTGTTAGGCTGTCCCAACCCCAACCTACCTACCAAGATACATGCACCACACCCCAAGTTATAACCGTAAAAAAAATCTGCAACCCCTATATATGGTGTATCTAACACATAACCTTCCCGACGAAGGTAATAAGGGCGTGTTCCCCTACCGTTGCCCGGCCGGGGGTCCCTGTCCGTCCCGTACGGGTCTGAGATGGACGGTATTGCGGAGCTGATGTCGGTGACGTCGGTGCTGCTGGCGGGCTCCATGTACCGCGCCGTCTTCTGGGGGTACGGCGGGGTCTTGTCCTTGCTAGCGCCGCTTCCCATCGTCTTCCCTACGCTCATGTAGAAACAAACAAAAAAAAACATTGTCAAATATTGTCGAGCGTGCAAAATGTACACCAATGACAATTAGAAGCGTTTATATACAAACTAGCCGGTCAATAACCTCCAAGCAGATTCTCTGAGTCTTTTGCAGTCAACAGTGGCCGCCTGTAAGCATTGACCGCCCTCTGTAGCGTATTGGATTCTGTCTGGCCAATTTGATACTGGCTTGCCAATTTGATACCGTATTGCAGCCAACCAAAGGGTTTGCTTGAAGTTTAACTTCAGTGTATGAAAGAACAAGACGGGGCAACAAGCTTCAATCCACAACGTACAAGCTCTGAATCGAAGTCTTCATAGATGCCTTGATCGCCACTACTGTAGAGGCTATCAAATACTAGTAGGATACTCTTCATTATAAGAACTGCTACAGCTTTGAACTAGGTTTGATATGTATCAAAGGCAAATGACGGATATAAGAAGAGAACGCGTGAAAGTACTCTTCATTATAAGAACAGCTACAGCTTTGAGCTAGGTTTGATCTGTATCAAAGGCAAATGACGAATATAAGAAGAGACCCTGTGAGAGCCTTGTGCTTACCGAAGAGGAAGAGTGAGTGACTGAGCTCGAGCTATCAAGCACAAGTTATCACCGTTCCAACAAGTCAGAAACCCTTCAGGGGTTAATAGGAATAAGCGAGGCCTAATATATATATATATATATATGGGCGCTGCCGTGTCTGTATACGTAAATGTTAACGTATTACGTAACGTTACGCAAGACTACTTTGCTCCAAACAGAATTACGGGTACACACTATAACGCCGCCCATCGTGTGTGCGTGTGTGTGTGCCCATGTGCGTGTGTGTGTGTCTGTGTCTGTGTTTCCACATAGCTCTTAGTAGATTAGGTTGTATAATGCATGTGAATTATGTCTACATCTGGTAGCGCGTGCTGTTTCCGCAGGTGTTTTTCGTTACATGACCTCCTTCACAGCTAACACCTGTTGTTCCTAGGGCCTTGCACGAATACGTCGACTTGTACACCCCTTGGTGAATGAGAAGAGGACACTGTCACCATCACACAGGACCAAGATATTTCATGGAGGTCTGAGATCTCGGAATTCTTGTTGAAATTGTGGTCTATTATTGCTCCCAGCCCCAGGGGTGGTCATTATTTCACCCAGAGAGTTTCTATTCGATCCTCAGAACCGCAGTTATTATTTTTTTAATGAACTGGGACAGAATCCTCTCGTAGTATGGGTTTTAATGTCCTTCGATGTTAAGACCTCGGGGCTTCCTATCCTAGATCAGACACTATGTTTTCCTTGAAACCTTAGCCGAAATGTTTTGATTCTACATTTGCGTAACATCTGCTTATCTAAGCGCAGGGTACATGTAGGTGCATGGTTCAGGCAAGGAGGAACAGACCTGTCTCATATCACCCCCCCACCAGTAAACACAAGCCTAATTCAAATCATAAACATGCGATTCAGGCGGCTGGAAACCTTATCACGGCGTATGTATCAATTGACCACGCTTGCAGTAAGTCACAATGACCCTTCGGCTTATATACAACTAAAATGAACCTTCCCAGTCGAATAAGCAGCTTCATCTTTTATATCATTGATTGTTGCACACACACGCCGATCTGGGAGCCATGATATAGACGATTAACGACACCAAATGTACTGAAAGTCCTACAGAATCGAACCATTAAAGTTAAGATGACTCTTCGGCTTATACACAACTAAAATGAACCCTCCCAGTCGAGCAACCAGCTCCATCTTTTATATCGTTGATTGTTGTACACACACACACGCCAATTTAATCTGGGGGCCCTGATAAACATTTAACGGTACCAAGAAGTCCTATAGAATCACACTATTAAAGTTAAGACGACTCTTCGGCTTATATACCACTAAAATGAACCCTCCCAGTCGAATAACCAGCTTCATCTTTTATACTTTCTGGCATTGATTGTTGCACACACACGCCGATCTGGGGGCCCTGATACACGATTAACGACGTACTGGAAGTCCTCTAGGATCGCACTATTGAAGTTAAGATGACTCTTCGGCTTATATACAACTAAAATGAACCTTCCCGGTAAAGCCAACTCCATCTTCTACATCATTGATTGCTGCACACACACGCCGCCCTGATAGACGATTAACGACACCAAACCTACTGGAAGTCCTGTAGAATCGGAAATAAGCCAGGAACTCCCGAAGGATCGATCAATTCGAGATCAGCTTAGAAATGAGCAGGTCGTTCCGTGAGCCGGCAGCGCCGGGGGCTTGTGTAGAGCCATTAACGCGTCTTCACGGCGTATCCTGTCATTAGAATAACGACAGGTGGTTGTCAGTAACTCTCCAAGCAGAGGTTGTGGGGGAATGATCGTTAGCTTTTTATACATGGCCGTTTTTTTTTTTTGTCGCTACCCCCACCAACCCGTCGGTGGCCAGCGACCTTCTCTGGCTAATGGATACTGCCTGGCCAATTTGATACTGTCTTTTTGCCACCGAAAGGGATCTGCTTGGAGATTATACTGTAGCACGGCTGGCGTAACGGTCTCAGTAGGACGCTGTATGACGACATTTTCCCATGTTGAGCATCGCACGAGGCATATCAACTAACACATAAACCCCCTGTGCGTAAAAATGCGTGGGGGTGACTACCACCAGTGGTGCAATTTCTAGGACGCCTATCCGGCCCATAGGTGCATGGTAAATGTGTTTAAAGAACGTATAGACCTCAACAAGTACCAGCTAGACCGCCATGTTGCAAAAACCGTTTATTGAATACGAACGCCTACTGCGGACCTCCGGTCGCCTGTCACCGCCCCTCATTCAATCATTCCTCCGTTACCTGTTATATAGAAAACACCGCGTCGGCCGTTTTGCTAAAGGGCATCGAACTACAACTGGATATTTCTCCAATAACGTCTTATCAGCGTGACCCAAACGTGTACCCCTCCCCCTCCCCCATGCGGCTACAGACATACAAAAATATAGATCTCAATTATTCCTTTCGCTGATGTCATATGTAGAACAAGGACATTATATAGAGCGCTGATGTAGTTTCTTACCTTCGGTGAACCTTAGTAAAGCCCCGGGGAAGGTTGTACGCCGTTGCCGCCTGCGTTATGCGGTGTTAACGGCTCCTGGCGCGCCGTACCAAGCCATGTGGACAGGTGCGCTATATTGCCCACACGACGTCTGTCCCTGAAGCTTTCCCCAATAGAAGAAGCAGACCTCGCTGTGTCCGATAATATTGTCTCAGCAGTCCGCAGTGTTTCTATCTGTCTTCCCTTACGTGTCCGTAAACAAGCCGTGGACAGGTGCGCTATATTACACACACGACGTCTGTCTCTGAAGCCTTCCCGTTAGAAGCAGACCTCGCTGTGCCGATAATATCGTCTCAGTAGTCCGCAGTGTTTTCTGCCAGTCTTCCCTCTCGTGTCCGTGCGTCACAGTTTTACGACATAACATATCGGAGGCGAGATTTCCAGGAACGAAACCAGCTTCGCCTCTGCTCCCGTCAGTTCGCCTGAGAAAAGTCGTGCGTTTCGGCGAACGATCCGGTACCTTCCCGCTAACAATGTTACCTGGGAGACATCAATCATTCACATTCACTTCGTGTCGGGGCCTGAAAAAAGGGACGCGTTGAGGTGCTTTCTTTGTTGCGCTTCTCCTGCTGCTTCCTCGTGCGATAATGAATTGGCTTATTAACGTTGCCGTTTCCAGATCATGCCTGCTTGCTTCAAAGTGCCGGTGGCATTTCTAGCTGTTTCCTCCTTTGGCTTCAAAGGCTTGAAACGTAGCATGCCCTTTCGATTTTGCCGACAGCCTGCAGATACAATGTCACAATGACAGCAACACAGCAACCTTTATATATATAGTTTCTATAGTAATACTTTTCAATGACCTTTGAGAGTCTCCCTAGCCCTGAAATTCTAACCCGCTAAGTTCGATATTTTCTCGTACGCCATCAATCTACGGTGTTGAAAACAGTCTTTCGGAGTCAAATACCGGGTTACCCAGTGACGTAGCAGCTCAGCAAGTGAGGAGCATCAGCTGAACGGTGCCACGTTGACTATTAAAATCCAATTAGCCGTCGTGGTCGCCAGCCGCACGTAAAGCCACTACTACCGGGCACGCAAAAAACATCCCGGGGACGACGAGGTTGACTAGACCGTCAGGACAGCTGTCAGAGGGCGGGCTGGCGTCAGAACGTTTCCTGGCAAACTCATCTCTCGACGCCTGCCAGACGAAAGATGAGAAGAAAACTGCCGGCTTCTGACGTAAAATAGGTCTGGTATTAAAGCTTCCCTCCCTACAGCCTCCGTAAGGGCAGCGGTGTAGCGGCCCGGAAAGTGCGAGATGTGAGCACTGTGCCAAGATCTAGACTTGATGATGTATATACCATCAGAAGTCGATATGATACGTAGCAAATCAAGGTCAGGGGTGGACGGTTTTATCGAATTCCGGCTACCGAGGACCATTCTTCTTCCGAGTTCGAACGCGTACGGATAACACCCAAGCCATAGGGTTCTAAAAGCTGTTACAAATCGGTTTTCAACACGAATTCCTTACGGTAATTCATCAGGATTACTAAAGTCAACATTGCCTGTGTAAGATCAGTAAAACCGTGAACATGTCGTATTTACCAAATTCGGTACCAATTTTTGCCTCTCGTCATCAAAGAACTCGGATTCACCCCATTCCCCACCCCGCAAAAAAAAAAGTCTATCAAAACTGGTTTATCTCATTCCTGGGCAGTGGACGGTCAAATTGGTCAAACGAGTTACGACTATTTGTTCCTTTGGATGGCGGAATGGAAGCCGCCTGGCCAATTTGATACCGCCTGACCAATTTGATACTGTCTTGCAAATTTGAAATGTTTTGCAGCCAACGAAAAATCTGATTGTAGATTATATCAACACAACTTAATAGATGTTAGAATGAATTTTATTTTGCACTCTCTGCAAAATTGGTAAAAAGGTTAACGTAGGTTATAG